ACCAGGTGGAAACGAGAGAAACGAGAGTTCAGAAAGACTTCAGCGACCGACCGAGACGTCGGTAAACAGTTTATTAAGACTCAGAAAGACTTCAGCGACCGACTGAGACGTCGGTAAACAGTTTATTTAGACTCAGAAAGACTTCAGCGACCGACCGAGACGTCGGTAAACAGTTTATTAAGACTCAGAAAGACTTCAGCGACCGACTGAGACGTCGGTAAACAGTTTATTTAGACTCAGAAAGACTTCAGCGACCGACCGAGACGTCGCTAAACAGTTTATTAAGACTCAGAAAGACTTCAGCGACCGACTGAGACGTCGGTAAACAGTTTATTAAGACTCAGAAAGACTTCAGCGACCGACTGAGACGTCGGTAAACAGTTTATTTAGACTCAGAAAGACTTCAGCGACCGACCGAGACGTCGGTAAACAGTTTATTTAGACTCAGAAAGACTTCAACGACCGACTGAGACGTCGGTAAACAGTTTATTTAGACTCAGAAAGACTTCAGCGACCGACTGAGACGTCGGTAAACAGTTTATTTAGACTCAGAAAGACTTCAACGACCGACTGAGACGTCGCTAAACAGTTTATTAAGACTCAGAAAGACTTCAGCGACCGACTGAGACGTCGGTAAACAGTTTATTTAGACTCAGAAAGACTTCAACGACCGACTGAGACGTCGGTAAACAGTTTATTTAGACTCAGAAAGACTTCAGCGACCGACTGAGACGTCGGTAAACAGTTTATTTAGACTCAGAAAGACTTCAACGACCGACTGAGACGTCGCTAAACAGTTTATTAAGACTCAGAAAGACTTCAGCGACCGACTGAGACGTCGGTAAACAGTTTATTAAGACTCAGAAAGACTTGTGGATTCCACCATAACACAGGACACCAGTGCATCCAAGAAACACCACAGAATCACTCAAAGATAATCAGAGGTTTCACCATCGTCAGCAGCAAATCTATTATTATTATTATTATTATCATCATTATCATCATTGACACAACAGTCACATGACAAAGTTTAACACAATGCAACCCAATACAGTTTGGTCTCCAACCAGACGTGCAGAATAGGATTTATTTATATATATTATTTTTATATATAATGTGAGTCTACAAAGCTGCTACAGGTCGTATACAAAATACTTTAACACTAATATCTCCACAGCTATAATAACTAACTGAATAGTTTTTACATTGATTACAGTCACTATAGAATCATTATCTGCATGAACTGAACTCTAACCACAACCAGAGAGACACACTCCAACCACAACCACACACTCCAACCACAACCACACACTCCAACCACAACCACACACTCCAACCACAACCACACACTCCAACCACAACCACACACTCCAACCACAACCACAGAGACACACTCCAACCACAACCATACACTCCAACCACAACACACTCCAACCACAACAACACACTCCAACCACAACCACACACTCCAACCACAACAGCACACTCCAACCACAACCACACACTCCAACCACAACAACACACTCCAACCACAACAACACACTCCAACCACAGAGACACACTCCAACCACAACCACACACTCCAACCACAACGAACACACTCCAACCACAACAACACACTCCAACCACAACAGCACACTCCAACCACAACCACACACTCCAACCACAACAACACACTCCAACCACAGAGACACACTCCAACCACAACCACACACTCCAACCACAACGACACACTCCAACCACAACGACACACTCCAACCACAACCACACACTCCAACCACAACAGCACACTCCAACCACAACAACACACTCCAACCACAACCACACACTCCAACCACAACCACACACTCCAACCACAACCACACACTCCAACCACAACCACACACTCCAACCACAACCACACACTCCAACCACACACACCACACACACACTCCAACCACAACCACACACTCCAACCACAACCACACACTCCAACCACAACCACACACTCCAACCACAACCACACACTCCAACCACAACCACACACTCCAACCACAACCACACACTCCAACCACAACCACACACTCCAACCACAACCACACACTCCAACCACAACCACACACTCCAACCACAACCACACACTCCAACCACAACCACAGAGACACACTCCAACCACAACCATACACTCCAACCACAACACACTCCAACCACAACAACACACTCCAACCACAACCACACACTCCAACCACAACAGCACACTCCAACCACAACCACACACTCCAACCACAACAACACACTCCAACCACAACAACACACTCCAACCACAACAACACACTCCAACCACAGAGACACACTCCACCCACAACCACACACTCCAACCACAACCACACACTCCAACCACAACCACACACTCCAACCACAACCACACACTCCAACCACAACCACACACTCCAACCACAACCACACACTCCAACCACAACCACACACTCCAACCACAACCACACACTCCAACCACAACCACACACTCCAACCACAACCACACCAACCACAACCACACACTCCAACCACAACCACACACTCCAACCACAACCACACACTCCAACCACAACAACACACTCCAACCACAACAACACACTCCAACCACAACCACACACTCCAACCACAACCACACACTCCAACCACAACCACAGAGACACACTCCAACCACAACCATACACTCCAACCACAACACACTCCAACCACAACAACACACTCCAACCACAACCACACACTCCAACCACAACAGCACACTCCAACCACAACCACACACTCCAACCACAGAGACACACTCCAACCACAACCACACACTCCAACCACAACGACACACTCCAACCACAACCACACACTCCAACCACAACAGCACACTCCAACCACAACAACACACTCCAACCACAACCACACACTCCAACCACAACCATACACTCCAACCACAACCACACACTCCAACCACAACCACACACTCCAACCACAACCACACACTCCAACCACAACCACACACTCCAACCACAACCACACACTCCAACCACAACCACACACTCCAACCACAACCACACACTCCAACCACAACCACACACTCCAACCACAACCACACACTCCAACCACAACCACACACTCCAACCACAACCACACACTCCAACCACAACAACACACTCCAACCACAACAACACACTCCAACCACAACAACACACTCCAACCACAACCACACACTCCAACCACAACCACACACTCCAACCACAACAACACACTCCAACCACAACAACACACTCCAACCACAGAGACACACTCCAACCACAACCACACACTCCAACCACAACAACACACTCCAACCACAACAACACACTCCAACCACAACAACACACTCCAACCACAGAGACACACTCCAACCACAACAACACACTCCAACCACAACAACACACTCCAACCACAACCACACACTCCAACCACAACCACACACTCCAACCACAACCACACACTCCAACCACAACGACACACTCCAACCACAACGACACACTCCAACCACAGAGACACACTCCAACCACAACAGCACACTCCAACCACAACAGCACACTCCAACCACAACAGCACACTCCAACAACACACAACACACTTCTCCCTGTGTTCTCCCCGTGTCTGCGTAGGTTTCCTCCGGGTACTCCGGTTTCCCCTACCACTAAAAATATGTCCAATAGTTCTGGCATGCGCCTCCTGTACTGGCGACCCCGCTCCCATCTCTGTGTGGAGTGAGAGACAAATGCCCAACATTAACAATTGTAAACCGCTTTGAGACTCAGATCTGCAGTGAAAAGGCGGTATATAAATAAAAACTTACTTACTTACTTACTTACTCCAACCACAACAACACACTCCAAAAACACACTCCAACAACACACAAGACAGTGTCGACTGTGGTAACTTTGTATCTTTGGTCAAGTGTGTTTTCACACACTGATGGTCACATTTGACAACGTACAGTAAACATGCTACACAACATATATACATGCTACACAACATATATACATGCTACACAACATATATACATGCTACACAACATATATACATGCTACACAACATATATGCATGCTACACAACATATATATGTTGTGTAGCATGCATGCACCATAGTGCACTATGGTGCATGTGGTACTGTGTGGTTGTGTTATTGTGTGGTTGTGTTACTGTGTGGTTGTGTTATTGTGTGGTTGTGTTACTGTGTGGTTGTGTTACTGTGTGGTTGTGTTACTGTGTGGTTGTGTTATTGTGTGGCACCATGGTGTAATACATTCTGAGCGAAGGTGAAAACAATGTCACGTGACACGTGTAAGGCTCTTATAACATGCTGTTCTTTCTAGAACTATCTCGAACCTTAAGTGGGAAACACTTCAAACTCTCCACTTCCGCCCGTATCAATCACGTGACAGGTCAGTTCTTTTTACTTTACTGCACATAATATATCTATAATATATCTATAATATATCTATAATATATCTTGCCCAAAAGACACCTTTCAACATGATTGCACACTTCCTGTCTGCACGTACCGGAGTGGATCTGTGCCAGATGTGACCTGTAAGATCAATAAAGTTTATCTTATGACAGATTTGAGCGAGACTTAACAAGTATGAACTAAGAAGGAAAAGTGAATAAATTAGCACAAAAAGAAGTAGGTCCAGGACACTGTACAGGATGATCAAATAAAACACCTTATGGATCTCACAATGGAGACACTTTAGGCATCGATAGTATCACTCAGGTAGTGCAAAAAGACAGGAAATGTTGTGGAAACATGTTAAAAAGGTTAAATATATAATAATAATAATAATAAAGGAGAACAATGAGGGGCAGTTGTGTAGCAGGAGTCTGCACCAAAGCGTGTAACGCAGCAATGCACTGGATCCATACAAGACAGCTTTAATACAGCTTTAAACAAGTTATAAATGAGTTTTAACACATGTCTAATGTGTTCTGATCATCACCGCCTCCATCACTGACTGTAAACACCGCAGAGCTAACATTATGGTTAAATACATGAAAACTATTCACACCGTGGTTCTGGGTGTTTACTGAATACATGCTGAAAGTAAAGCATCGCCATTTCAGCTCAGTGTGTCATAGATCCATGTTATTATCATAGATCCATGTTATTATCATAGATCCATGTTATTATTATAGATCCATGTTATTATTATAGATCCATGTTATTATCATAGATCCATGTTATTATTATAGATCCATGTTATTATTATAGATCCATGTTATTATTATAGATCCATGTTATTATTATAGATCCATGTTATTATAGATCCATGTTATTATCATAGATCCATGTTATTATTATAGATCCATGTTATTATCATAGATCCATGTTATTATTATAGATCCATGTTATTATTATAGATCCATGTTATTATTATAGATCCATGTTATTATCATAGATCCATGTTATTATTATAGATCCATGTTATTATTATAGATCCATGTTATTATTATAGATCCATGTTATTATTATAGATCCATGTTATTATTATAGATCCATGTTATTATTATAGATCCATGTTATTATTATAGATCCATGTTATTATCATAGATCCATGTTATTATTATAGATCCATGTTATTATTATAGATCCATGTTATTATCATAGATCCATGTTATTATTATATATCCATGTTATTATTATAGATCCATGTTATTATTATAGATCCATGTTATTATTATAGATCCATGTTATTATAGATCCATGTTATTATTATAGATCCATGTTATTATTATAGATCCATGTTATTATTATAGATCCATGTTATTATTATAGATCCATGTTATTATTATAGATCCATGTTATTATAGATCCATGTTATTATTATAGATCCATGTTATTATCATAGATCCATGTTATTATTATATATCCATGTTATTATTATAGATCCATGTTATTATAGATCCATGTTATTATTATAGATCCATGTTATTATTATAGATCCATGTTATTATTATAGATCCATGTTATTATTATAGATCCATGTTATTATAGATCCATGTTATTATTATAGATCCATGTTATTATTATAGATCCATGTTATTATTATAGATCCATGTTATTATTATAGATCCATGTTATTATTATAGATCCATGTTATTATTATAGATCCATGTTATTATTATAGATCCATGTTATTATTATAGATCCATGTTATTATTATAGATCCATGTTATTATCATAGATCCATGTTATTATTATAGATCCATGTTATTATTATAGATCCATGTTATTATTATAGATCCATGTTATTATTATAGATCCATGTTATTATTATAGATCCATGTTATTATTATAGATCCATGTTATTATTATAGATCCATGTTATTATTATAGATCCATGTTATTATTATAGATCCATGTTATTATTATAGATCCATGTTATTATTATAGATCCATGTTATTATTATAGATCCATGTTATTATTATAGATCCATGTTATCAGCTGAGAGGAGCTAGCTAGCCCGTTAGCATGTAGCATGTAGCATCGCATCTTTCGACATTCCTTGCACAAAACAAGCACATATCGGGTCCAAACTTGTGCACGTCGAGGCTAATACATACCTGGGAGTATTTTACAGTCGACAAAAGTGTAGTCAAAGGGACAGCACGGGAAACACCTCCTGCTCGCAGTGTTTTTCACCGAGAAGAGAGCGTTAGCTTAGCCGCGGAGAGCTAGCTTCCCCCGCCGTGCTGCTGCAGCAAACCGAGGAAAATGGAGTCTTTACACCTCTCCCTCCAAAACAAGTGAGGAATGCGTCGATCCAAAAGCACGTCCGGTGTCAGAGCAAACCGGGGAAAATGGAGTCTTTACACCTCTCCCTCCAAAACAAGTGAGGAATGCGTCGATCCAAAAGCACGTCCGGTGTCAGAGCAAACCGAGGAAAATGGAGTCTTTACACCTCTCCCTCCAAAACAAGTGAGGAATGCGTCGATCCAAAAGCACGTCCGGTGTCAGAGCAAACCGGGGAAAATGGAGTCTTTACACCTCTCCCTCCAAAACAAGTGAGGAATGCGTCGATCCAAAAGCACGTCCGGTGTCAGAGCAAACCGAGGAAAATGGAGTCTTTACACCTCTCCCTCCAAAACAAGTGAGGAATGCGTCGATCCAAAAGCACGTCCGGTGTCAGAGCAAACCGAGGAAAATGGAGTCTTTACACCTCTCCCTCCAAAACAAGTGAGGAATGCGTCGATCCAAAAGCACGTCCGGTGTCAGAGCAAACCGAGGAAAGGTTAAATCCTGCAGAATAAACGCGAATCTACGTCAAAAACACGATGTTGTTGTTTAAAGTTGTTTTAATTAGCTCCGTACATGGCGCTTCTTCTGCTTCTGCTGAAAGTTGATCAGCTGCAACCGAACTAGGGCCGGACCCAAACCAGGGCTGGCCGCACAGGACACGCCTTCCTCGGCTGCGATTCGCTTTGGTCAAGGTCGATTTTGGACCAAA